CAGCCAAGAAGGGTCTTGAATTTAGATTTATTTGCATGAAATTTTTGAAAGGTTCTTGAAGTTGGTACTCGGGGATTTCGGTGAAAGAAACGTAATATTGAATAACTCATACAAAACTCGTGGTTTAAGTATTCTTATCCTTCCGATTGGCCGCCTGAGGATCGAATCAAGCAGAAGAATGCTCTTACGGAGTTAAAACTCGAAAGCTAAATGGCGAAACAAACCTTACAATTAAGGGTTTTCGGGTGGTCAGGTCTTGGAAGCCAATGCTTCCGAGGCCTGTATGGGTAGAACGATTGATTTCCAAAACACCTTAAGTGTGTGCTACACGAACTCCCATTATCGTCGAAATAAAATGTCCAAGGTGAGTTTGGCGGTGGATTAATGAAGTCCCGGATATAATTGTTGACACAGGAACTTAGCTAACCGTAGATAAAGACTGTTCTCCCATCATCTGTACAGGAAGTTATAAAGTGATAATTGGCAAAATTGGAGGTATAATATTATACACTGCGGACCATTATCGTATGCAATCAATCTTATCGGAGGCCCATGTTGGTGGTACGTCTGTGGTAGCATGTTGTACATTTAAGTCTAGACACGGGTTAGTGACTATAAGAGGAATATACCGTAGTCCGTGTTGTCTTGCTGACGAATGTATCTTAAGAAACATCTGTTCTTGAATTAAGGTACGATGATGTCTCATCATCGGAAAATTCAATGCACCGCATTTCAGCTGGATAGAGCTTACAGCTTCGGACAGGGTTTCGGTAGCGACCTTCCATCAACCATTATTCAGTGTGCACTTGTACAATGTGTCGCGAAACCGACGCATATTGACTTGGAACATTATCCCTCATTGTTGGACCTTATCCTCACACACTAGCGAATAATGGTCACTCTGTGCTTTATTTTAATTTTCAGGCACATGGTATGCAATTTGTACCAGCTGCACCCATCCCGATATCTGGCTAGCTAAAATCCCGGCCATCAGAGACTGTGCTGTCTCGACTGACTGGTCGGTCGATGTGGATGGATCGGTCAGAGACGAATGGAATAAGTTTAAGGCTGCATTCGAGTTCGTAACATCGCCGTTTATTCCATGGTCAACATGTAAGCTACCACATTGCCCTCCATGGATTAGTAAGGAAACCCGAAGGTTGTTGAACCGTAGGAAACATTTCTGGGACTTATTCTTGTCAACAGGACACGAACCATTTCAGTGTGAATACCAAAAACTCCAGAATGTATGTTAAAAGGCCATAACTAGATGCCGTACAATTTTCGAAAGATAGTTGTCGTGTGATAGCCATATTTTTCCGAAACGATTGACGTTAAACGACGAACAAAACGTAGTGATGGTATTCCCTTGTCGATGTTGTACGGAAATTCAGATTTACTGACGGAGTCAGGTCTGGCAAAAGCTGAGACTTTTTCAAACTATGTTAACGAATTCTACCCTACGTGTACTATTACAAATACTTGTCCCAATCACAACGAAATATCAACCATAGAATCTGTGCATGTGACTGCGGAAACTGTTCTTTCATTGATCACTAACCTCAAACTTTGTAAGATATCGGCCCTGATGGTATACATCCACGACCGCTGTCATCTCTTGAGGACATTATTTCAAGACCACTCGCAAACCACTTCAACATGTCCCTTTCACTTGCCCAACCCCCTAGAGATTGGAAAGACGCTATAATCAGTCCTATATTTAAGGATGGTTAGAGACAGATCGTTTCTAACTACGGGCCTGTCAGTCTTACTAGGGCAGTCGTTAGGTTACTTGAAAAGACAATTCGGTCGAGTGACAAAGTCACATGGATTCACACAATCTGTTAACTTCCGAGCAACATGTGTTCCATAACATGCGTTCATGCCTGACTGACTTACTTTTGCGAGAGAGGATTAGACAGCAGCCCTAGATAACAATCTGCCTGTCAGCATGATATTTATGAAGCATTTAACAAGGTTTCCCACTTAGGTCTTATTCAGAAGCTCTCGAGTTTCGGAATAACAGGCACTGTACAGGAATGTATAGGAAACTTCTTATATGACCCCAGACAGAAAGGGAGGGTCAATTGAACGCTATCCGAATGGAAGTCGATCAAAAGTGGTGTACCTCAAGGGTCCATCCTAGGTCCGTTACTCTTCCTTCTCTACATTAATGAATTACAGCTATTGCCTAAGTCGTTGACGTTATTGTTTGCGGACGATTTAAAATCTGGAGAACAAAAAAGTGAGGCTGATTATTTTAATCTCCAAGCTGACTTAGACGGATTAGTTAGATAAGCTCGAGGTCGAGGTTTAGTTATAGGAAGAGTTTGCTCATGCACATCGGTCACGGTAACAGTTACCACTATACTGTTGATGATGCATCTCTTCCATGCATTCAGGACTACAAGGACTTAGGAGTAATAATAAGCCGCGACTCGAAAACAACTACGGATTGCAACGCAACTACTGCCAGGGGTAGTCGTGCGGTATGGTCACTTCGCCGAGCATTCAAGTGCTTTGACGAGATGTTTCAAATTTTTTATTCCACCTATATAAGACCACACTTAGAGTACTGTATCCAAGGAACTAGCCCATGTCTATAAAGGATACCAACTCACTTCAGCGTGTTCAGCGTGTGAGAACAAAATTAGTGAAGGGTCTTTCTAAACTCTCTTACGATGAGCACTTAAGACGCCTAAACTTTTCCCCTTGTCTTATCATAGGACCCCAGGTGACCTTGTACTGACTTGGGTGTTAAAATGTCCCATCTTTTCGCTCCATCCAGAAATATTAATCTCCGAGGTTATAAGAAGAAGGTTCACAAACCGCGATCTAATAAACTTAAAGTGGGGTCCTGTTTTTATCATCGAGTGGTCAATGTCTGAAACGTCTAACCCGAACAAGTGGCATCAGCCCCATCACTGAACATTTTTAAGGGGAAGCTGGACCTTTACTGGAAGGCACACTATTAGGATTAACACAGGTCCATCAACCTACTATCCTTAACACTGAAGACTGAAGACCTCGGTTTTTGGTGTATGCGTTACACTTGCATGTTGCTTCTTGTTTTGTGCTTGTTGTGTATAATTCGTCATAGTTGTTTCCGACTTTGTAGCATCATAATTTACTTTTATAAAAAATTGCATTTAAGATTCACAGTTTAGGGTGCTTTCAAATGATTTTCAGTCTTCAGTAACAAGGATAGGAAGTCTATCGACCTACATTAATCCTTGCAGTTTGTAACACTGTGGAGGCCCGATCTCGTTTTGAATATATCGACAGAAGTTGCTGATATTACGTGTTCTGGTATTTAGTTCCAGTAATTCACTACTCTGTGCGATAAACGGAACTCCAGACGTAGACGATTTGATCTCGGTTTTTGAACTTTGTCCCCTCAAATGATCAGTCCTAGACAGAAGGAAAAGATGAGACATATTAATACAAAGGTCGTCGTTCAGCATACGATAAGCTAATATTAGATCACCCATTATTCTACGGTAAGATAATGGAAATAAGTTAAGGCGTCTCAATCTGTCTTCATAAGATAGGTCATAGTAGTACTAAACCAACCAAAAGACATGACCATCACAGCCAAATTAAGTTGATTCTTTTAAACATAATACTTTCCGGTACTGACTTTCTCGAAAAGTGTGGTTTGCAATTTTCTGCGTCTTGTAACCCTAGTACAATGTTATTTGTTCCATGACCATGAGTTCATTAAGTTAGTCCTAGGTTTTTCGTGCCATTACTACACACAAGCGGAAACACTCCCCCCAAATAGTGTTTTGAACATCTGTGTCTACAGTTCTTTCATGATATTGGTTCTTAAATGGTTTATCCTAGTTTAGCCGAATATGTCATAATACGTTGCTAAATCTATGGTTTCTTTTGCTTTAATCATTAGCTATAAAAACAGGCGACAACTATTCATTGTCATTAGTATAACTAAGTTTCGTGGTAGTGCTTTATTCAAATCTATTTAGTTTGTTGAACTGCATTTAAAGTTAAACACTTTCTGCTTAGGGCTCGAGATAGTTGTAATTATTAGTTGACTTGACTTAAAATCGGCTGAAGAGGTACATATACGTTTTTTTATTGATCTAAAAGTCAAGCCTAGTTTGTTTGTGTTTTCTTTTACTTGGTCCCATTTATTCTGTTTGACTGATAATTTCCGTTAACTGTTGTGAATCGTAGCAGTATGGAGATTTGGATTAGTTTTTGCAATGTTTTTAACTGACTAACTGAATAAATGAAGGTGATGAGCTCAAATAACGGCGTATTCATGATTACCAGTCCTTTCCAAACACTTGGACATAAATTAAACAGTAAATGATGAGTAATAATAACAGAAGTACTTATTCCAAATGAATAAGATTTATTATTTCTTTTGATCAACGTCAAATAAAACTGTTGTATGTGAAAAAATACCCATCGATTGTCTGCTTTATCCATTGGGAGTGATTTACTTGGTAGGGTTGATCGCTTCACTTATCTTGGAAGTCTCACAAACTTCACTGGGTCGACGACCAGTAAACTCCGTCTGTTTTTTCTTTTTTGAATTGTTAATTCAGCTATATACTTATATCTAATTTATCTCTCCTGAACATCACCGTGGATCTGATGAAGCTACTTTAAACCTAAATCAACTCACTTTGTCCATTTCGGTTGTTATTCACTTGTCTACGACTTGTCATGTGTTTAAAAGTACTGTCAAGATAATAGTTATACTGTAGTATAATGAGGAATCATCTTTTTTTGTAGGACAGTCGTATCACTTATGTTGGTGTTAGAATAAAAAAGAAACCATTTTCACGGTCGTAAAGAAGGATAGTATTTATTCTCTGATAACTCTAGGATAATCTAAATTAATAAATATGTTATGGGTATAAATCGTCCTTGAAGACTTACAAAACATTTTAAATGTAAATGACTTAATGTAATTTACCAGGAATGTGTGAGTAATTTAATGTTACTACAATAAAGTTATATTTCAGCACATGCTTTCTCAGACGAATAATTCCATATCATACCCTACAACTACCAATAACTCAATCACAATTCTTTATGGTAGTCAAACGGGCAACGCTCAGTCGTTAGCTGGGTTGCTCGCTCTCCAATCATATCGAATTTTCGATCAGGAATGTGTCAAATCTAATTTAGAACGTCTCCCTATTATTCATCTACTATCAATGGATGACTACACACCTGTATCACGACTTGCGAAGGAAAAAGGTGTGGTGATATTCGTTTGTTCCACTACAGGTCATGGTGTTCCTCCAGATAATATGTCACTATTTTGGAAAAAAATAATGAATCGAGCTTTGATTCCAGGTCGTTCGCTCCCATCAGATTTACATTTTGCTGTCCTTGGACTTGGTGATTCTTCTTATCCTATGTTCAACTTTGTCGCTAAGAAGCTTTATCGTCGTTTGCTTCAACTTGGCGCCACTCCACTTTGCACAGAAATTAGACGTGATCAAGAATATGAAGAAAGTGAAAATTCAAGTCTTGGGTTAGCTGATGAACAGTCCGAGTTAGGTATAAATGAGGTTTTGCGCTGTTGGATTCCAGCTCTTTGGGACAGCGTTATAAAGTTCTTTGGCGTTCCGACTTCAGAACGATTATCACAATTTATTAGTTGGGACAACTTGAAAAATCCTGATTTTGTGTTTAGTTTATGGCCTAAATACGATGTCGTTTGTTCCAGCTTAGTGCACAATCCCAGTTTACAATCCACAAGTGAAAGTAATTTGCTATATCAGCTTGTCAAGCAAGTCGAATTTGACAATGCGCATTCGTTCATGTCTAATCCAATCCCAACTAATGCTCAATGGTTTCAAGTGGTACGTTGTAAACGTGTTACTAGTGCGGACCATTTCCAGGATACGCGACTATTGGAATTGTCTTATAAAGTGAGTGTTACTTAATTATTTTAGTTTTATAGCAATATCTGTTGCGTCAGATTGACCAACATCCACTTGTTGGAAATGTTTCATGGGAAAATGTTATATGCAGCTAGGTACATTATTAAATGCAAACTTGAGTGGCAATTGATGACGATGATTCATGTGATAACCTATAACAAGCACTCTAGATTCTCAAGAGAGTGTATTTGAAAAGAAAACAGATATAAATGAAAATATCCCGTCATTATGTACTTAAAGAGTTCCTTATGGATACCCAGTTACTTCTTACCTGGTCAATGTAACCATGATATCAATCATTATAGTGCTATTGAATTTTCCTGGTTCAACATTAATGAAGTTTGAGTCAGTCAGTCGGCTACAACGTAGAACCGAGCACATATATACGTCGGTCCAAGTTGCCACACCTCATTAGCATAACAAGATGACCACTAAATTCACAGAAGTAGTTACTTCGATGGTGGCAATATACAAAAGAAAGATTGCATATAAGGATATAGCACAGGAAGAAAGAATTAATTGGTAGAAAGAAAGATATGAAACAATTTTAATCTCTTAGTTTAAGGGAAGACAGAGAGTGTACACACCTACGCCATTGTGATCGATTTTGAGTCATGTCAACCCGAGTCTTCAACCAGTGGTTACGATAGTCACGCGGACCCCAACCAAGCAGTCTGCATCTACCAACATGGCTAAGACTAGGAGTTAGTGACTTTAAGGACTGATGCCACATTTTGGTCTGGTCGCCCCTAACCTTCTTCCAGCCGTCTCCAACACTAGTCATCATTGGGCGTTGTGGTAATCGATGTTCAGGCATACGTAACACGTGGACCAACCATCTCAGTCGATGAATATTCACAACCTCATTAACTGATTTACCATCATTCCCCAATAACTTGAGCCTAACCTCACTATTACTTATCTGGTGATCCCAGCAGATGCGAGCAATATTTCTAAGACATCTGTGGTCAAATTCTAGTAACTTACGAGTGTCTTCTACTCTTAATGGCCAAGTTTAGCATCCGTAAAGTAGAAGGTTAATGAACTGCAGTGATACACGGAGGGACTTTCCCTATGCATCTGTTAAACGAGTCGATAACCCCTTCATCAATTTTTCCATTATAAATAATGTTTAGTGTATATTGGAACGTTGATTAAAACTTGTATTATGTTTATTCATCACTACTAGTGCACCTATCATCTTGCTATCAATACTTACCTTTACTTATTATGTTCAGTGATATAATGTATTTAATTTTTTGTTATTGACTCATAAACTATTTTCATATGTTGATATAAATATCATTGCATATCAAAGCCTGATGATGACCAAAGTGAAAACATCATCGTTTGCTTACGTGTTATTCTAATCTAACAAGTAATGTAAAATTTTTGATAAGAATTCGGATCTTGGTATAACAATACTTAAGATCAATCCGACTTGTGGATTGAAGATTCTTCAGCCAATCGATGTTTGACAATTCAGGGTATTCTTGTGACAGAGTTTATGTACACCAGTATGGTTGCTAACATCACTATACTTATGTTGTTTTCATTATATCGGCGATGTATGTGGTTTATCAAGATTTGTTATATATTTATTATCTTTGTGGTATACCGATGTACTTACTTACGCCTGTTACACCTCGTGGAGGAGCGTTAGCTGACCACCATGGTTCTTCATCATACTCTGTTCTGGGCAATCCTTTTCAGTTGCCATTCATCCTTTTGACATCTGCTTCCAATTCCTGAAGTCCGCGTGTAGCTCTTCTAGAGTTACTTCCGGTCCCAAGCCCGGGTAAATGAGGAGGGTTGGGCATGGGGTAAATAAACCCATCCCGTAGAAAACAACCTTCCTAAAAATTGCTAACCATAATAAACAATCTAAACCATTCAAATTCTGTCCTCCGAGTTGAACTATATCCAGAAGAATTATGACACCTCATGGTGAAAGCCGAGATTCTTCGGAAGTCAAGAGACCGATGCCTCTTCTAACAACCAGAGCAACAATTACTATAAGTACATGCAGTGTCCGGACAATGTGGGACCAGACCAGACCAAATGGTCACGGAAATGAGGAGATACCAATTGGCAGTACTCGGAATCAGCGAAACCCATTGGACCCAAGCTAAACAGCAAAGGCTAGATACGAGAGAGATGCTAACGTACTCCGGTCACAAAGAGAAGAAATGCTCCACGCATTCATGGGGTTGCTCTGGTGCTGTCCAAAAAAGCCCAACGAGCACTTAGTGGATGGGAATCTCACCGCTCCAGAATAATCAAACCATGGTTTAAAACAAAGAACCAGGGAATCACAGTCGATGTTATTCAATGTTATGCGCCCACTAATGATAGCAATAACGACGATAAAGACCAACTTCACGAGAGGCTGCAGTCGATCATTATGAAGTGCTCAGCAAACGACCTGACCATCCAGGTGGGAGACCTAAACACCAAAGTCGGAGTGGACAACCCCAGATATGAAGATATCATGAGACGCCGTGCACTGACTGGAGGAAGGAAAAAGAATGGTGAAAGATTTACAAATCTCTATGCATTAAAAAATTGGGTATAGGCGGCAAAATATTCCCTACAAAGCTACATGTGTCTCGCTGGACTACACCACGGAGTACGAGATAGATCGTATTTGTATCCGTAAAAAAATCAGGTCAATAGAAGACATGAGGACCAAAAGAGCAGCTGACATAGCTTCAGATCACCACCTGATAATTGCCAAGAAGAAACTGAAGCTAAAGAAGCACTGGACAACTGGACAAACTTAACCAATTCAAGATAACTATCAACATCAGGTTCTAAGGATTACAAGATCTTAAAGAAGAAGAAAATCTACCATGGGGGACAATTGGAAAGGGATCAAGCAAGCACTAACTTCAACGTATCACGAGGTTCTGGGTCACAAGTAGCATCATCATAAGGAATGGGTCTCTATGGAAACCTTGGACAAGATTCAAGAAAGGAAGAACACAAAGACAACAATTAACAACAGCCGAACAAGAGCAGGGAAAGTCAAGGCATAAGTTGGATACATAGAAGCAAACACACGAGTGAAGAAGAGTATTAGAGTTGGCAAACGGAAATACGTGGAAGACCTAACAACGACAGCCGGAAAAGCTGTAATAGAAGGAAATATTAAACAACTATATGACACAGAAGAAACCGATAGGGAAATATAGTAAATCAGAGAGGTCGGTCAAGAACAAAGAAGGTGAGCCAATCACTGAAATTCAAGGACAGAGGAACAAATGGGTGGAATACTTAGAGGAACTCTTGAACAGACCAGCTTCACAGAATCCACCGGACATCGAAGTGGCGCACACATCTTCCTATAGCTGTCACTCCACCAATGATCAAAGAAATCAGGATGGTCATCAGACAAATGAAGAGTGGGAAAGCAGTTCGATCTGACAATATAGCAGCTGGAGCACTGAAGTCAGATGTAGGAGCAATTGCAAACATGCTCCACGTCCTATTCAGGAAGATTTGCGGGGAAAAACAAGTACCACTGACAGACTGGAAAGAGGGGGCACCTCATCAAGATACCACAGAAAGGAGATCTTCGCAAATGTGAGAACTACAGAGGCATCACACTACTATCGGCACCAGGAAAGGTTTTCAGCAGAGTGCTGCTGAACCAGATAAAAATTCAGTAGACACCCAACTTCGAGATTAACAGGCTGGATCCCGTAGGGTTCAGTCGTACACAGACCAAATCGCGGCACTACGGATCATCATTAGACAATCAGTTGAATGGAACTCGTCACTGTACTTAAATCTCCTTGACTATTATTAAAAGTCGTCTGGCAGTGTGGGTAGGATAACGTTCTGGAACCTTCTTCGACACTATGGAGTGAGAGTAGCTCAGAAAATCGTCAAAATCTTCCAGAATTCATACGATGGACTTCACAGCTGACAGATGCATTACAAGTGAGGAATGGTATTAAACAAGGCTGATTACTCTCTCCCTCTCTCTTCTGATGGTTGACTGGATTATGAAGACCTCCACATCTCAGGGGAAGCACGGAATACAGTGAACAGTTTAGATGCAACTGGACGATCCAGACTTTGCACATGACCTAGCTCTTCAATCCCATACACACCAACAAATCCAGGTGAATACAGTTAGTGTAGCACTAGCCTCTGCAGCAGTACGCCTCAATATTCACAAGGGGAAAAGTAAGGTCCTCAAATACAAAACGGAGAACACCAATCCAATCACACTTGATGGAGGAATTCTGGAGGTGGAAGCCTATACATACATACATGAGCAGCATCGTCGATAAACAGAGAAGATCTGATGCAGACGTGAAGATCAAGATTAACAAAGTAAGAGCAGCATTCCTACAGTTGAAGAACATATGGAACTCAAAACAACTGTCAACCAATATCAAAGTCAGAATCCTCAATACGAATATCAAGACAGTTCTACTGTATGGAGCTGAAACTTCGAGAACTACTACCATGATCGTAGAAATGTAGGAATGTTTTTGAACAATTGTCTACGCAAGATACTCCATATCCGTTGGTCAAATACGACCAGTAAGAACCTACTGTGACAGAAAACAAACCAACTTCCAGCTAAATATGAAATTAGGAAATGACGCTAGAGGTGGATAGGACATACATTATGGGAGTCATCAAACTGCATCACGAAGCAAGTCCTAACTTGGAATCCTGAAGAAAAAAGGAAAATAGAAAGACCAATGAAAACACCACGTTGGGAACTGGAAACAGATGCCAAAAAGGTGAATAGCAATTGCAAAGGATTATCCAGGACATTGTTGAATGAAGAATGCTGGTGGGCGGCATGAGGGGTTCAGGCGTAAGGAAGTAAGTAAAAGGTGTTCAAGTGTACTGTGTTCTTGTTTGGTCGAGGAAATTTGAGTTTTATATGTGACACAGTGATTAGTCTTCTGAGACTTCAAGCAACTGTCTGCAGATTTTCCCATTCAATCTCATATTCTTATTCGTATATATACATATGAACAAGTACGTCCTTTAAAAATGTGATTCACTGCATTATTTGACTAAGGATGGTTATTTAATCATATTCATCTGTCCTCTAACGCTGTAGTCGTTATAATAGTTATTATTAGTTATCTAAAACTTTTCCGTAATAGTCGATCTCGTTATTCTTCATTTTCATGGTTTATACAACTATGTTCGGTAGTTTAATAACATTTATTGATTTTCTTAGATATTAAAATGATTGTAAGTTATGTTATTTTTTCCTATCTCTTTTAATATAACCTAGTATAGTCTGATATCGATTTAAAATCGGATGAATTTCGACTTGGTTCTGTGCTTTATGTCCAGCCTACAAATCGTAAAGAAGATATTTTATCTTTTTTTCAAATAACTCGTTTGAATCCAACTGAACGTGTAAAAATTACTCAATGCCATCCGAATTTTCCTGTACCTCATCTATTCAGTGCATTGGAAGAAAATGACTGCGATGTGTCTATTGCTTGGCTTGCTACATATTATTTTGATTTGAATGCAACTCCACAACAATGTTTCTTTGTTAATTACTGTGCTTTTGCTGTCAATTGTTTGAAACTTTCAAAAAGCCCGGATAGAGCACAACACATAGACAAAGATCGTTTAAAGTTAGAGGTTGATCGGTTAACTGATCTAGCTTCAGCTGAAAATTCCGATGATATCGATGATTTATATGATTATGTTTTCCGTCCTTGTCGACGTGTAGTTGAAGTACTTGCAGATTTCCCGGTTACATCAAGTCTCTTAACATTACAGTATATACTTGACATACTTCCTGGGCCGATTCTTGCGCGACCTTATTCAGTGGCGTCTCCTCCACCGAAAATTGAGTTACTTGTTGCTGTGGTAAATTATCGTACACGTTTGTCAACACCACGTATTGGAACATCTTCAAATTACTTAGCTTCTCTTAACCCCGGAGATTGTCTTAGTGGATGGTTTGGTACTATATCTGGTGGTTTTAACTTCGATAGACTTTTGACACTTTCACCTCCTTCTTGTCTATTGATTGCTACGGGCACTGGTATTGCACCGTTCCACAGCTTTTTGTTACATCAATATAATTCTCTTATGTCTCATTTGAATCATGATATGCTTCCAACAAACGTTCTCTTTTTCGGTTGCCGTTACTCCACAAAAGATTATTATTTCGCTTCAGATTTTAAAATGCTAGAACAAAAGGGTTGGGTAAGGATCATCCCAGCATTTTCCCGCGAAAATACATCTACCGTGTCGCCATCACGACGTCAGTATGTACAAGACCAATTGAAAAATTATCCAGAAATAGTTTGGTCTGTACTTAAATCTCCACAAAGTCATGTATTTATTGTGGGGAATCAAAAAACAATGCCTGATGAAGTACGTGAAGCGTTAGTGTATGCCATTGTCAATGCGAATCACACGGATTCCAGTGGTGCTGAAATATTATTAGATCAAATGGAAACAGAAAATCGCATACAGATTGAATCTTGGGCATAACGATGTCTGTATGGAAAAGTGATTGATAGATATATATTCAATGTAGTCTTGGTTATGCATTTAACTTTGTTTCATATGAATATTGTACAAAGTAAACTATGTTTATTGCGAACACTTTCGGTTTTGATATATTGTGTGTTAGACTATGGTTTTCAGTATCTGGTGAATGTGTCCTACTCAATTAACTTCGAAAACTAGGTTCAGTGTGATATCAGTGTTTAAGTGTTAGCAGGATAGAACCTTGATCAGTGCATTATTGAAACAGGACTAATTCTAAACATTCTGATTGATCTATCTTTCATATCAGATTTGTGTCGTTACGGGTGAGAGTATTCCCGAGTCCATGTCAAGAAAGTAAAAGGTCTCTGATGCAAAACTATCTTTCAAACCTCATATTTATTCTCAAAATAATCGTAATTCTATCTTTTCACACATATACTTCAGTGATTGAGTTTTCAGTCAAATATGTCAATCCGTCGTAAAAATTACGACCGTATGAATTCAATTTTCATAAGCCTCTTCATTAAGTCAGCGTGTACTGGTAGGATGACTTGATCCTTTTTAATCTTTTAAACAACTAGATTCGGACTGTGGATTATATTACTCCGCTTTCTGCAAGATATGACGTTTCTGGATTAATTTTCTTATAGACTCGAGAATATGACTTACTGAAGATTTTCGAGATAGGCTGAAACAGACGTCTATCGATTCCTTGTTTTCGGCGTTTCACTGTTCTACCAAGTCTACAATATTTTATTCCCAATAGGTATAAAATTTAAGACAAAGCAACGGACCCCATTAATTTGGTAGTTTCAATGTTCATAAATTAATTATGTAACTCCAAATGCATATTGTATTCAGAACTGTATATCTCAAGATTGACTGATTTCAACCAATAATTGGATTTCTAGATGAAAAAATGTGAGGAGAATCACTGTAAGAAGCATATTTCTTGTTTGGTTCGACATTTTAGAATTTAGTGGTAATACACAGCCTAGTAAATATGTGACAACTCGGAAGCTAGGTTAATGAATAATGTTAGTATAGGGGAGTTGAGGGGGATAATCTTGTTTTCATTTTGCATCACGAACTCACTATAGCTAGACATAAATTAGAAACAAGAGAGTGCTAAACATACGTTTCACTCAAGAAGTACTAGAACAACCTGTTCAAGGATCATTCCAACGGCCTAATACACGTTCCCAGTATATTAACAAAGTTGACATTCAAATATTGACATATGTGTCTGATGTTCAATGATTATCTGTGATTTAAACTAAAAATAATACCAATAGTACAGTATATCATAGTTCTAAATTAGTTACAAATTGAATCTTACTAGTTCAAGCTTAAAAATAAAACTGGGATCAATGGTCAGATAGATGAATTAATCTTGTTGGCATTCCATGTTTACACCAAAGAAATGGAAAGCAAAAAATCTTGTCATTTCGCTCCTTTTGTAATTGTAGTTTTTAACGTCAGTATTTACGTCATTCATAACAGCTTTTAATGGATAAAATAACTACCAGAAATATAAAAGCATCAACAGCTTGGCTGTAATTAAATTAACAACATAGTGAAGCAATAATTTTTGAGTGTATGTACCATGATAAAATGATAACAGTCCGAAAGCAACCATTAAAAATCAAATAGGATTGGACAGTATACTTGTTTCCGTCGCTCATTTTTCACTGGTGCATTACTACGATAGCCTTACATTATATCGAAATCAGATAATTTAGGTCTGGATGTGAGTACAGTGTTTGCGATAATACTGGGTTGGAATATTGTTATATTCATTAGTATTCTATATTTAACATTAAATACTATGAATTTAATCATGTTCTTAGATATATTATTGGCAGAGATATCGACTGTGAATCAATCTTTCTTGTATTTATATTGTGTCAATTAATCCTCTTACAATTTGCTTTTTTTTTCAGGTTAATAGCATTTATACCTATTGTGTAGATGGGTTCACTTAAATGTTTTATCTTAGGATTTCAAGAATTTCTTACAACACCTAGTCGTTTATGGAGAATGCATTATCATTTAACACAGCTCACATCTAGTAATGCACAAAATACCAAAATTCATGAGCATCAACGTGAACGACAAAAACGTTTACAAATTCGAATTCCAAGTTCAGATAGATTAACAAGTATTGCATCACATATTGAACTGCCTGGTTCAAGTGTTGAGAAGTTAGCCAAGTCTAATGTTGATTCACCTATTTCACTTCCGAATTTATCTCCATCTTCATCATCATCACCGTCGTCATTGTCAACAACATCAACATCTCAAATAAAACGTTCATCATCAGATTCACAGGGTTTATTGGAACCATTGGCAAGAATGTGGTTGATAAATGTAGGACTGATATTGGTAAGCTGCATGTATATATATATATATATATATATTATATACTTCTAGACCTAATAACTAGTAAGAAGTATAAAGGATTTTGGATATTGTCGTATTTTCATAGTTGAAATCTGGAAGCGCTGGATGATCGTTTCAACCTAGTATGGGACTCCTCAAAGGTGCTTATCCACAACCCCGCACTTGGGCGTCGAACCCAGGACCTTCTGTCTCGCACACGAATGCTTAATCTTTAGATTAGTAAGCCACCATCCAATGGTGTTAATCTATAAATCCAATCAATCCATAATCTTGCACTTATATATAATTACTCAATATGAGCATATGCTGTATCAGTCAGTCATAGGCTACATAGAGCCTGAGACATGTATACATCGATTTGAGTCCCCACACCAGATCAGCATAGTGATACGAAATTGTCAAGACATGTTAGAGTAGTAGAAGCTTTGATACTACAATCATGGTAGGAAAGATTAGTTATAGACAATATGGTTTGAGAAAGAAATAATTTGAGGAATAAAAAATATGGGATGGTTTTTATCGTAGAATTCAAGGGAAAATAACGAGTGAATATATCTACACTATTCTGAACAAAATCATCCAATGTCTCTAGTAATTGGTCACAATTATCTCTCGAACCCTAACCAGGTAGATTGCACCTAACAACACTGATCGGTCGAGTAGTCAATAATATCATTGTACTAATGTTACATTTTTGTTTGACCGCTCGTTGGGTTTACATTGGCTGATTGATTACATCTCATTGAAAAAATAATACATGAAATAAGGGAAATTACGAATAAGGTAAAGAAATTTTGTTTTGAGAAATAGGAATTTCTTATATGATCAATACTTTTGAGTGATGCTACATTCACTTAATTTTCTTTCGATTTAATACTCATGACATCACACGATCACGATTATGTAGGATATAATGTTCACTGCATTGTTTAGATATTTTTCGTCATATGATGAACAAGATGTAATTAAATAATTTTCTTAGTGTTTCCTTCTTATATTGTTTCTTTTTTTTGTTATACTGAATTTTAGGTGTTAGCCATAATCTCGTATTTATTTTCCCTAATTCCACTAACCCCATCACTTGGTAAGTAATTATGATGTTTACTTCGAAAATAAAAAAAGAATTATGTAATATAACGTAGAGAAATTGAATACAGATTTGTGGGCTTCAGTTTGAGTCTTATACAATATGTATTAGGTGAGATTGTATATGCTGTCTGATTGGCATTCTCTCTGTACTAATATATGTGATGTAGCAACTTGATCCGATGCATATATTTGTTGGGTTCTATCGTTGCCTATGGCTAACTGGTTGTCAGATTGGCAAACATTGAACTGAGTAGAACGGAGCTTAAACTGAATACGGAATGGTGCAAATTTTCGAATGTTTCAACCACTAAATACGTTGCGTTTATCTTCCTCTTACCGATGATTTTCACAAAATATGTTTTGTTAAATGAGTCAAGTAATGAAATTAAAGTTATTCTGTACGGTAAACGTTATTTGTATCTCTTTCCTTGGTTTTATGTTGTATCAAATAGATCTAAATTTAATGTTTAGTCTTATTATGACTGTCTTACTTTACACTTTTGTGTTTCTGATTAGTCAGATTAATCGGTTTGATGAAAATGATCCTTCTAATTATTCACTGATAAATGTGATTTTGAACATAGTGTATAGTGTTTCAAGTTCTATATATTTTCATTCGATGTTTCGGTAATACGAATACCTTTGTAGGAGAATTACTTGGGGTTTGGTCTTGGTTCGAGTGATGTAAGAATATGTGTTTGATGATTATTAGACCACACTCCGAAGATAATTGAATCCTAATGTGTTGTGTTGAAAAAAAAAGCCTCGTGTTTTAGAAGTGCTACCGGGATCTGTCAAAAAACGCTTATTTATCTATCACTTTTTATCCTGGAAATATGTTCAAATTCCTTCAACTCGAAAAATTTCATTCTTAACGATTGATGCTCAAGTTCATACTATGTAAATGATCAATTCCAAATCGTTTTCGATTAAATCACCATCAGTACTGACAACAAATAAACTCTTCTCCGTTAAAATTTATTCTCACAATTGTCGATAATTAGGACCCAGCATAAATCTTAAGTTGTATTCATTGAGCTTCGTCACAGTTGTTTAGTACATAACACAATGCTTTATATACACTTATTGTTTCTTTTTTCACACATCATGAAAATCACATTACGGCATGCATGTTTTATGCGGTTATTATTTTGCACTGTTATTTATTTCTGACGATAAATTTCCGTGCTCTTTTAGAGTTGGGCAAATATGAATCCTTGACTTCTAACAACTAAGTTACAGGTTCGAACCTTATTCCACCAACTTAGGTTTACGCAGACGTGTAGTGTCGTTAGCCCAGACAATTGGAGTGTGACTCATACCCAGTAAATGAGTTGATGAAAAATAAATTTACTTTGATTTGGGTTTGAGCGCTAACTTCTCTTATGTACAATACGTTATTCATATGTATCCACGCTTTGTTTTTTCGTGCTATATTTCTAATTGATTCTAGGAGACACTTATAATTATTAGTCGAAGACACTAGTTCATCCTAACTGAAATCAGTGTGTATGAAGTGGATGCACCAAATGTTTAATTTTTCGTAGGTGATAAACGTTGTGATATAACATCATTACATCTGTTATTATCTCGGTTTTGTGGAGATTTGATTCCATAGTTTACATTACGAACTGATTTTATTTAGACAAATATTGAATACGGACTTATTGGTCTTAAGGGTAAGCTGTGGCTGGGAGACCTGAGGGTTCTGAGTTTGATTTTTAATTAGGTCGTAAATGGGAGCAAATGAAAAATCCCAACCGTTCAGTGCTTTCTAGTTCCAATGACTGTTCAACTGAAGTCAACGCACAGTGTTAATCATAAAGTTACTAAATATATCTTGCGTTTTTAGAACCTGTTTTGATCCCTTTTCGTATTATTATTGTTACTAATTCTCTTCTGTATTTCCGTTATTGATTGTATTCACTCTTTGTAAGCTATGGTATTTTGAATGTTTATATCATTGTTCGATGTATCAAGTTGTTTTTATCTCTCTGTGGAGGTTGGCTGTTTCCATAAATTTATATCAAACACAAATCTCAATTTAGTATTTTTCTGTCAAAGTTCATATATCTGTAGGTGTGTGGATAAATCGGAACATGATAAACCCATTTTTAACCCACTTTTCTTATTGTTCTGTTGGGATATTCAGGGAAATACCCCAAAAATTATCCTGTTAAGCCTAATGCTATCCTTGGACATGAAATGGTATCATCTTATTGGTCAATATTTATTTGACGTGTTATTTTCCTGTTGGCCATTATTGTACAATGTTATCTTCTATTTTATGGTACGTTGTGGACTGCTTGACTGGTATATAAACAAAGTATGTTTGAAATATAATGATTCATAAATCCGAGGCTGAGACTTGCGTTCTGGACTCAATTGGCTGGGCTATACAGGGAAGCGAGACCAATCAGAACCCTAGGTCGTTCTACGTGTTTGCGCGTCTTTGGTCCGATCAATAATTCGCTACCCTTAATCATCAGCAAATATTTTTCAGTTATAACATGTTCTTTGTCAAATACTCTTGAATTCACTATTTTCTTCTCTCTCTGTCAGTATCATGGTTCGAGTCTTCACGTTTCTGTCACTTCGTCCATCGATTATTCTCATGCAGTGTACACATAGCATTGCTTTTATTTATGGAGTTAGTCAATCTTTTGTACTTGAAAGTAAGTAAAGTTTTATCATTCTCTTATTCCGAAAATGTATCGTCATAATTGGAACCATAGTAAATTAACCAAATTACATTTTTCAGTTTAATATACCAATCGGATACAGATTGAATGTACGTTGAAGGATTCCTAGCTTCCCTTATCAATATATTGGGTACCACTATGAATCACTTTTTGTGCCTATTGCTTAACTCGAATATGGTCTAATCGTTAATGATGTGGAGTAAATATAGATCCTACTTCGTATATGTTCTTTCGACAAATCCCGTTAATAACAACATAAATGTAAAAAGTCGAATACGAGTGTTTCGGATGTTTATGTTTCACAAATTCATTTCGGCAAACAGAAAAATAGCTGAGAAGCAAAGAAGACAGATATACCTACTTAAAATACTACTCATTACAAACATCAATGTAACTCAAAGTAAATAATTCATAGTGCGACAACTAGATAGGCATCAGACGCATAAGCACACACAAAGACATAGATATTTGGCGGGGGGGGGGGTAAGTTTACCGAAGGTTACAACTTCCTATGAAAAGAAAGTAAAAATAGCTCAGTAGTCATATGCCATCCGAGTTGTTAAATTCTGCCCAGAAGTTAAAATAAATCACGTGTGCTAACACAGAAGCTGCTACAACCAGTTTCCCACTCGAATACAGGAATTTAACGAAAACATGACCGTGTTCAAAGGTAAATTGCGCTTCATTTTAATGTATGTGCTAGTGATGTTGTTGATAATAATAATAAAGGCTTCATGATGCAACTATCCAGCTCAAAAACCACAAATCTTTTGAAATTCTGATCTTGGGATACAAATTTTTTAAAATAATTTTGACATAAAATTTCTTTTTATTGTACACAGAAAATATGCGATCGTATAACCTTGTTATCCATGACTAAAGAATATCGGTATATTCAAAGAACTACTACACGATGTTGTATACTTTTTACTGGTTTATCAAAATTTTCTGCTAATGATCGTTCAAATGTTTTCTTAAACTCTGCAATCGGTGGTACAATCATGGATCGTTTATATACACTAATCTTTTTTATGATATTTCAATTACAAGTAGGTCGGATATTCCAGATTTCAGTGTTTTTTTTATTAGTTCCTTTGTGTGTATCTTTTTGATGTCACTGTTTTTATTGGCTGTTAACTCGTTATTAATATGTGACTGATGGCGTTAGTCTCTTCTGACTAATGATTACTATATACGGTATTTTAGCTGAGTGGCTAAAAATAGTACACTTCACTATATCCTACGGATTTCTGTTACCGGCTGTAGAACGTGAAAAGTATGTAGCTATGATAAACTAAGAACCACTTGCAAAATGCTATGTGTGACCAGCCTCGAACATTTGTCCTTTGGACGTTTTGGTCGAGATCACTGTTAGTTCAGTTTATCTTTCGAGTACCTAAAGAAAACGAATCATCATTTCATGGTGTTGGTGACCAGGAAGTAACAACTGACCACATACCTCTTAAAGAATTCGAAACTATCCTGTTCACGATCAAATTCTAGTTAAATAGCTTGACTTCTAGTCATTAATAGGCAGATTTGAATTCAACTCAATCTACTTCAATAAAAGCAGCTGAGTGGTATTCATATCGCTTATGCATACTCACACACAACTAGTGTAACTCAGAACCAGTTTCATAAACCTGTATCTGACTGATTTCTCAGATTAAAATTATTGAAGTGAATACTATACTAATACACTGGACCATTAAAAAGTCACCAAATGAAAAGTCCACATTGTGCCGATCAAAAACCTAATATAACAAGTCCAAGAAATGGTTCTATTTTCTAATGAGTAGATACATATTTATAAATGATTACTTTTGCATGTGATTTAGCCCAATAAATTTCCTCTTTCATTCTCCATCTTCTCACTCAGTAGCCGGTTGGAAGGTTGGGGATAGAGTTTGTGTATCAGTATCAGTCTCGGACACCGTGGGTCATAATAAATACTTTTTTGTTTTTAAAGAGGATTGTTAGACCAATGCTCGATTTATTGCGAGAATTCTTGTGTTGAGTTTGGAAAACTGATCAATAATAGTTATGCAAATTAAATATGGGCATGTAACCGTCTAAAATCTCCGCAAAATCGCATCACTAATGACTAGTTTTTGGATTTGCGACTAAAGAACCTTATGAAAATCTGTTGAAGAGCATATTTTTTGTCCACATACCTTTATTTCAACTCAGTATTAGTTAACTGATATTTTACATGCTGCGGTATTTGAATGTCCTCAGTTCAATCACATGTAATGATGGATACATATTGCAGAAAAATCCAGAATCCAAATGAAAAAGACATTCAGTACTCATTTCTTTTTTCAGTTATCCTCTATCTTGTGTCACTTCTCGATGAAAATTGCTTCTAAGGTCCTAACACAATCACCTCAATAAATATGCCAATACAAAATTTTATATAGAGATTACGGTTTCTGTGTTTACAGTGCGTTTATGTAAGTGTACCTTGTATTTCGTTATCTTCTATGAAATGTAAAACGGTCGGAAAATGCGATATTTTCCAACATTTCCATCATTTGGAAATAGTTTGACTCAAACTCACATTGTTAATGGCTGACTCACAAAAACACTTCAAGATTTTTTCTGTTAATACCAGTATCGTCTGTCGAAGGCACTCGTGGATAAAATACAGTTGTTCTCGACTAGAAGCCTGTTAGTCTGTTAGAGCTGCGAAGTTGGTTTGCTAAACTTTCCTTATTTCCTCAATTATTGGAATCTAGGTTAATGAATAGTTAGATGGTGGAGTAGGGCGGGGTAGGGAGGCAGTAGATAACATCTGCGTTGTGGATGTCCTGTCCTAATACATCCAGTTCTTCTAATTACATAACGGAGTTTATGCGCAACGATGATATAAGATTGTATAGTTTTAATACTACAATTATTAACATTATTGCACCAAAATTTAACTTGTCAATCTTGCTGATAAAATTCATCATATTCAATGTGATAATTTTGAATACGATTAAGATATCTCATTTTTCCAGTCAGTCACAACACAAAACCGGGTGCGTGCGTATATTGGTTCAAGTTGCTATACCCCATTAGCACAGAGACGAAATCGGTGGTAACAGTATTAGTGGAATAAAAAAGAAATTTTGAGGGATTATGAAGCTTAGAATTTGGGGGAAAACAAACAATGGATTCACCTGCTCCATTGCAAGCGAATTTGAGAGTTGTTGATCCCATATTCAACTGCTTATATCGCCTCCAAATTTTCCACTCTTGAACATCGATTTCTAACTGTATTATTAATTTATTTTTGTGATTGTCGTTGATTTGTTTTTACGTTTTCTAGTGGAGTTTATTGGCTACATTGTCAGCAAATTACTGGATTGGTCACGTGATCAACGCTTTCTCTGTTGCTTTCTTGTATGCATGTTATGCATTTGAATATCGTTGGCGACAAGTTGCCGGTAATTTAAACGTTTTAGTTTTCTTGAGGTTGTTATCTTCGTACATACGAACTGTTATGAATTGACTGATCTATCAAGACCTTGTTTCTGCCTCTGTCCTCAGCTATTTTCCAGCTTATATTGCTATATGATACGCTGGCTGACATCGTCATTGTAAGTTGGATAAAAAGTTTATCGAGTAAGAGGTTGTTGGCTTGAGTCATGTTGGTAGGTGTAGACTTCCTGATTTTGGGCCTAATCAGCAGTCAGAAAGGTTATGTGATGGCATGACGCAAAACTGATCTCAATTGTACAGTTTCATTTATTCTCCATCTTCATATTTTAAGTGTAGTGTCATTCCACACTCTTCACTGTTTGATCTGATTTGTTCCTTTTAAACTATCTCATGGTCAACTAGGTTTTTTGATACATTTTTAGTTGGGTCACGTGATTAAGTTGTGCTGTTTAGTTTGTAAAAAGCGTTGGTAGTGTGTAGTTTGCTTCAAAATTAATTTGAAGCTACTTTTTTGAAACTTATGGTTATAGTTGTGAATTTAGATCGGTGGCTCTGTGGTTAGGGTTTTTAACTTTTAGTCCTATATCAATGGTTCGAACCCTATTCCAGCTACTCCAGTCTGAACAATCTGATAGTATCACTATCCTTCACACGAAAAGTACGACTTTTGACCAACCACACAGGTCTGTAGTTGGTAAGTGGGATAATACTATCTTACTGTAGTCAAAATTAGTTTCTCTACTTTAGTACTCATCTTGTTACTCTCTCTCCTCTTGTTGTAATGATGTGAAGTGTACTAGTGTAGACTGATGCATTCTCCTGTCTTTATTCTACATTGAGGATGACTTACGCGGTAAGTAACATTGTATAACACATTATTACAGAGATAAAATTATATGTATTGAAAGAAGAAATTATCATTGAATAATACCTTTTGTATGTTAATTTTTTAATCGGTCTTCATTATTTCTTGTTCTAAACCTTCATTAGGCACTACCTTTGAAGGATTTTTAGGAAGAATTGTTGATAATTGGACATATTTCCTCGGATACGGTCTACCACTTGGTTGTGCATCTATTGTATTCCCACATTTTATTGGTTGGGGTGGTGTAATTCTTGCAATAGGTTATCCAGTTCTTGTAATTGGTGCATTAGGTAGTCGTTGGCGTCCATTTGATGTGAATATTAATGTGAAAGATGAATGGAAATTATTTCATTTATTACGTTATTGTTTAATTATTTCACTTCGACCAGCATTATGGGTTTCTAATTTAGTTGTACAAACTACTGCATGGTTTGTTTATCAATTTTGGTTTCGACAAAATTATCCAATTACCAATGATGAAAGTCGTCAATTTTGAATATTTATTAGTATATTCATTGGATTGTTAACTTCAATTTATTTCTAGCGGTCAGATTATCGGTTGAAGAATCATAAAAAAAAAGTTACATCACATTTTCGATGCATAATAATATATACTTTCAATGACATGATCGTTATGCAAAGATAGTTTCAATGTTCATTCATGAATTACTATGTTTAATGGACACTTTTAATTTGAAGCTTATAACCATTACAAATTATAATCATTAAAACACCATTCATTATTTTCTAATTCTATTTTGGATTTTATTTTGTTCTTAGATATAATAATGAGTTAAATGAATATAATTTTATTGTTTTGTCACTTTGTCACCACACTGTTTTGTATGTTTATTCACAGTTGAATTTCTAACTCACCTTGGTGCCAAAGCATTTTACTCTTCATTTCGTTCTTTTTTTTATTTTAAAAAAAGAGAAGTTTTATTACACGGATCTACATAGGTTTATAATCCTTTTGTTCAATTGTTAATAGCTGAGTATTAGTATTGTAACAGTATTAGTAGTAGTAGTGCTTACATAAAGAGAGAGAAAGTAAATGATTAACTTATTTATCAGGTATACGATTTCGTATATTTGATTTCGAACGGCTCTATAATTGTAAGAGCTAATGATATACTACTACTCAACTGTTTAAATCGAAGTGTAAGTGAAATGGGATTTAAACTCCGTGACCTAGGTATTGAAAATTTAACACCTTAACCTACTGTAACTATCACTCCATGTAAGACATCCCTAAGAAAAACAAAAAACTGAACTTCTTGACTGTACTTGTTAATATCAGAGAGTGTAATCATCAATAATGTTTAGTTAGTTATATTTTCTATTTGAACATTTTCATTTGTTTAATTGCTTATTATTTTTTAGTTTAATTTTTTGCTTTAATTATTTTTCTTTTGTTTGTTACAAATTTACATCATTTCATAGTGTGTATGATTTATCCATCATACAGGGATACAACAAGAAAGATAGTAGTAAATCATTTTCCCCTTGAAATAATCGTCAATTCTACCCATTGTAGTCTAATATATAAATATCATGTATATTGATAGAAGAATTATAATCATTTGTATGTGTTTGTGCTTTTTTTTTGTTCTGTTGTCAAGGGAATTCTATCCTATGTCGTTGAAATCATGTGTAAATCATAATGAGTTGAGCATTATATTTGTATAGGGAAAAATGTATATTTGTTGTCTTTCTTGTACGTTAGTTTTATATTTCCACCTAATAATTAAAAAAATAAATTCATTATGCCGTATATATATGTTCTTTAATTTTTATCTTCATCATATATACGAATCCAGAGGATGGTTACTTTTTTTCTTTGATTGAGATCATAAACCGATTGGTGTTTGACCACCATTGTAAACCTGGAAGCACTGGATGGCCGTTTCATCTTATTGTGAGACTCCTCAGGAGTGCGGATCCACGATCCCGCTCGCTGGATTCAAATCCACTGCCTCCGGTCTCGCGCATGAACGCTGAACCTCTAGAATATTGAGCCGGCATCCAACGATGTAAATGTCCAACGTCAACCAACAATTCATAGTTATTAACTTGATTTGTTAAAGTTCACTTTCCCAACTTTAACCGATTGAGAATATAGATAAATGATTAACCATTAGTGTACAGATAAAATACTTTTTAATAAGCTTGAAAATTTTCGGGTTCAGTTCCTGTAAGGTTTTTTGTAGAGTTCGAAATGAAGTTAAAAATTTTTTTCAAAACTTCTTAGTTTTTCAATGATTTCTCAGTTAGTATCAGTTTGTCATGGTAATTGATCCTTTCAACTAAATTCATAGATAGTGTAATTAAAAATATCTAGTTTGTATAATAGTTTGTTGATTGTAACTATTATCTATTTCAACAGCTGAGATCATGAGTCAATTGAAGCTAGACCACCATGGAAAACCTGGAAGCACTGAACGGCCGTTCCGTCCTATTGTGAGACTCCTCGGCAGTGTGCACCCACGACCCCTCCTCGCGGGATTCGAACCCAGGACCCATCAGTCTCGCGCCAGGCATTAACACCGGTGGGTGCCGGCCGGCTCAGTGGTCTAGTTGGTTAAGCGCCTGGCGCGAGACTGGTAGGTCCTGGGCTCGAGTCCCGCGAGGCGGGGTCGTGGATCCGCACTGCCGAGGAGTCTCACAATAGGACGAAACGGCCGTCCAGTGATTTGAGGTTTTCCACAGTGATCTAGCTTCAATTGACTCGTGATCTCAACTGTTGAAATTACTACAATCTCCACAAAACCCCTTCTGATATTATCTATTTGTTCATATTAAAAGATGAAATTTTTCTTATTGTGAAAGAAACATAATGACAGATTTTGATTTTCCTAAAAGATAAATCTCATTAAGAAAATGAAACCAATTCTTACAACTGCGGTACAAAAAGTGATTTCGTTTGAAAAAATGTCACTTTTACCCACATATATCATTCTCTAGATATATAAACTTTTACATTGTTTGTCATTAAATAGCAATGCAACCAAGGGATTCTAGCAGTTTTTTGAAAATTAATTTGGATTTCGATTGCATAAAATGCATGGTGTACGTAGTTGTGTATAATGTTCCTTGAAAAAAACAGCAAAGTTCCTATTCTTCAGCCGAACCAAGTAGATTTTAAATTTTCGAATAACGATTTCAACCGACTCATGTTCACATGAAACCTAATATTACTATTCTATTTCGATCATTTACTGAAAAAAGGCTTGACGTAACAAAATAGATGACTTATTATTCGCTACTTAGTTTCGTAATAATTCATTACACTTTGAATTGGACTTATAAGCGATTGATACAGTGCACGAAACATATGCACATGTTAGCTTGAAAATAGTCTAAATCAATGGTACCTAATTTTCTCCATGCCAATTAATTTCATTACCTCGGTTCTGAGCCAAGTTTTGAAATATAGTCCTCAGTTTTATGTAAAAGTATACATTAGGGAACAACAACAACAAACCGACAAGATCACGACAATCAATCCTATGCAAACCAAAGGATGAAATAACAAAGGAAGACAAATCAAACATCATCTACAAAATAAATTGTGCCAACTACGAATAACACTACATCGGACAAAACGGACGTCCCCTCCAACTTCGCCTACATGAACAATTAGCAGTCAAACGCCATGATACTTCCTCACTTATATCAATACACGCGGACAGCTGCGGACACACGTTCGATTAGAAAAATGTGGAAATCTTGGACAGAGGAAATTCCAAAAACACCAGAGAATTTTTAGAAGCATGGCACTCAGGTCAATCATCAATCAACAAACACATTGAAATCAATCCAATGTATCAACCAATCAGGAAAATCATGCACAAATATAAGAACAAAAATCAAACCAATGGGAGACAACCAAAACAAAGAAGTAAACAATGACAAATTTAAGGTCAATGAGAACCAATCAACATCGAGGTGTACAGAACGAGCTGTGAAACACATATGGAGAAATCCGAACACTTCACTTCTATCTGAAGTTTGTGCTGGTGATGTCGTTCAGAAGAACGATGAAAGCTCCACGACCAAACCTTCCATCTCAGAGAACAAAACTCCATCAAAAACAACTTTAATGAGTTTCTCGCCTGTTATTAGCCAATCAGAAGACAGTTTTTATGAATGAAAAGCTTGTGGAAATTTAAACAATGTTGTCACCAACGTTATGTAATTAATGGATCTTTTGGTATTGTTTTGGTTACCATGCCTTTAAGTCGAAGGATCAACGACAAAATCGTCCTAATGGACATAGTTTGTTCATCTTTCCGAATTCTTATAAGGATCCAAACAGATTTTTGTGTCCCTACATTGTCCCTAGTTAGAGTAAAGGTTTAGGGTTGGCGTGTTTATTCACAAACTGGCATCGGTTGTAATATAAGTTGCTGCATAGTCATATGGATGAATAGATTTTACACAAAAGTATAAGGGGTATTCTGGTGAGGTAGTTCAACCAAGTCAGAACATTTTTCAGGATTAAAAGCATGGTGTTAGAGATAGAGTCAATCTACCTGTTATACAAAAAATACAGATAAAATTAAGTATTTGAAACGCTTAACACGATCACTGTCACTCTACGGCAGTAAAATATAATTTTCCGCTCTCATTTCGACTGTTTTGAGCAGTATACAAAGGTAATATTACTCCTCGTCTCAATTGTTCGGTTTCTTTTACTCTTCAAGGAACATAGGCAACCCACCTAGATTTTCCACCAAAATCTATCCTGAGAAATCCTTTCCAGTTGCTATTCATTCCTATCATGTCTGCCTCCACTTCTCTACACAGTGTGTTCCTTGGTCTTCCTCCTTCCCTTTCCTCCACCTGCACCCCTTCTGGGGTTAGGGCTTACCACAAGCCCAAGTAAATTAGCAGGGTTGGGTATATAATCTGCAATCCCATCCCGTAGGAAACAACCATGATAAAAAAATACTAACCAGTAAAAAAACAATTTAGACCATTCGATTTCTCCCAAAAATTAGGGAAACACATTATTGGTTCTGATTGGTTTATAGCTGAAGTATATTTTTGCTCAGTTTCTAGTTATACACTATCGAAATTCATAGACATATTTATCAGTGATACCGCTAAAATGGGTAAAATAATATTTATCTCATCAACTCTCCGGTGGTATATTACCAAATTCTATAGCGTTCTCTAATGGACAAAGTTGTTCATTTAACCAACGACAATATGATTAGTTGTATTGCTGTTTGTGTTAAGATACAGCGTAGTTTATCTAGTGAGTAAATAAAAAATCTAAAAAGGATACGTAAGTAAAGATAATTACCAGTTTATTCCCATTTTATTGTTACTTTCATCACTAACTATTTATATATTAGCTATGTTCTGCATATCAATGAAACATTTTCTTTTGTATGACTTCCTTTCATGCTTACATAATGATTTTATTATGTTAAATAAAGAATAATGCAATAAATTTACAAATGAATCATGTTTCATCGAACATATTTCTCACTGATTCCTAATATATTTCAAATGAACTTTTATTAAATACAAAATCAGTGACAAATTAATTGTTGATCGATTTCTATTGATTCCCTAAGAAATCAATGCAAAGATCTCGATCCTAAAGGAGGTCAATCGTTATCTGAATAGCCTAGTTGTAATATCTCCTACGGTAATATTCAATAACGGGGATTGAAATCGCACAGGAGGTCGAAATTCCCTAAGGATTGATAAATGCTAACTAATACGAAGCTTGGATCAATAATACATACCTATTGATTGACTTCAACCACATAATATCAAAATAAAATGTATGGAACTTCAAGACATTTAATATCATCTTAAACTATTTGATAAGTGGCTGCGAATAAAATTCAATCTTGATGTAAACATTTAGAGATAATAAATAAAAGGTAATTGATAAGTTGTTTTACTTTTCAACAACTCAACTGTCATAGTGCTATATCTGCTAACATTAAAAAAAAATTGAATCAACGACAATCAAACGTGAAAAACGGAACAATATTGCGAATATTTAATTTGTTTACTAATCAGTAGTATAAAAATGTTTTCTAAAAAAAACAAACCACTATCAATAGCATATATGAGAAAAATTACTGTAAATTTCTAAAAATGATTACTATGAGGTCAAGTATTTCAGGGTATATAAGTGATAAAAACGGTAAAGTTTAAAGAAAATCAATAAAATATTGCCATAATAAAGGACAAATTAATAGTAGATACATATTAATTGATTTAAAATTAGATGTATTACACAAATCTTGATTACAACAATTTACTGTAAATTGTACTGATTTATAACTCCAATAAAGCCAATTTGATAATGGTTTACAATGTTGTACACATTGTCTTGTTGCTATACCTCCTAAGAAATAACGTGAATGTTCTATGGTCTATAAAGATTTTTGTAATTTTTTTTTTGGTACAGAAAATAAAACAGAATAAAGTTTTAGAATTCAATAAAATTCTTGGTTTACTGACAAGTAATGGTTAAATATAAATTGTTTATTATTTGTCTAATTTTTTAAATGTTGAATGTGTTAGTTTCAATGATTTTATCGATATTAATATGTAGGGTCAAACATCCATATCATTTTGGTAGCATACCGTGGGAACTCTTGTTGTATTCTACACTCAAACAACATGTTATATCCCTAATATCAGTATTGTCTATTCCTTTAACAACAATTCGTTCGATATACACCAAATATCAACGTAAAATTTAATGGAAGCTAGCTATCAATATCATTAGGTTAGGCTACATTAGACTTCGAGTATAAATGTTTAATTCCTCAAGTTGCTATAATACAAAACTGTATTAAAACTATGTCTAAACTCACCAATAAAGTTTGCATTCATGAAATATGTATAATATTAACTAATGTGAATGAAATCGTCTACTTTCATTATAAAATTTCAGGATATAAATATATGTACCATCATGGACGTCTGCTTTGATTCAAGAAAGATTTTTGAATAAAGTGTTCCGAGCCTGGATGTTGTTCTACCTAAATTTTAATTCAGATACCTATTTTTCTTAGGATCCGTGAATTCATGTAAACCACTAGTTTTTAATAAAGGTTTTTCTAATCCATCCATTTAAACCTTCAGTAAACATCTACATGGTTTAAATAGCAGACGTCCTGTATCACTTTTACATTTCATTTTTAAATCCTTAAACCAGTCAGTCAATCAGTCAGCTACAACGTAGGACCAGGCACATATATGCATTGGTCCAAGTTGTCATACTTCATTAGCACAACAAGATGAGCACCAAATTTATAGAAGTAGTTACTTCAATGGTAGTAAAATGTAAAAGAAAAATTGTGTACAAAGATATAGTACAGGAAGAAAGAATTAGTTCGTAAAAAGGAAGGTATGAAGGAATTCTAATCTCACGGTTTAGGAGAAGATAAATAGTGTATACACCTACGCCATTGTGATCGGTTCTGAGCCATGTTACACAGAGTCTCCAACAATTGGTTACGATAGTCACGCGGACCCCAACCAAGTAGTCTGCATCTACCAACATGGCAAAGACTAGGAGCTAGTGACTTTAAGGACTGATGCCACATTTTGGTTTGGTCGCCCCTAACCTTCTTCCAGCCGTCTCCAACACTAGTCATCATTGCGCGTTGTGGTAATCGATGTTTAGGCATACGTAACACGTGGACGAACCATCTCAGTCGATGAATATTCACAACCTCATTAACTGATTTACCATCACTCCCCAATAACTTGAGCCTAACCTCACTATTACTTATCTGGTGATCTCAGCAGATACAAGAAATATTTCTAAAACATCCTCATACGAATCAAAGGCAAATAGACTATTTAAGAACATTCCAATTAAACGGTTATCTTTTTTTTTTACTTTGTGCGATCGGATTAGTGTATTTCGGATTCAGACATAGGAAGCATGTTATCTTTCTTTTTTTTATCATAAGTATTCATTTCATTTGAGCAAATGATTTCAATCCACACACACAAAAAAATACATTTAAATTTCTTACAATTCAAGTACATTCAGTTTTTTTTACCGTTTCAATAAAGTAAAATAATAGATTTCACAGAATGAAATCATGATTCAATTGAAACTAGACCACTATGGAAAATCTGAAAGCACTGGAAGACCGCTTCGTCCTAGTATGGGACTCCTCAGCAGTGCGCATCCACGATCCCGCACCCAGCGGGATTGGGACCCAGGACCTACTGGTTTCGCGCGCGGGCACTTAACAACTAGACCACTGAGCCGGCATCCAACGGTGTTAATGTCTAACTTCAACCAAAATCTCCGCAAATCCTTTCTGATAATAAATTTCATTTTGATTTATTATCTATTCACATAATAAAACCAAAACCATTGAAAATTCAATATTATAATAATAAGTAATGGATCAAACATGTTACTATCTTTTGTCTGGTGTATTTTTTTTCTTCCTCTTAAACTTACTTTACAAAATTTACAACCATCCGCTACTTCTAAATGTTCTAGTTGTAAAGGTAATGAACATTGATCACATGTATAACATTTGATGGATTCAACTAGGAAATAAAAAAAAATTATGAAAGTAATTAAAAAAAATGCTATTACATAAGATTTATTGTTCTTGATAAATTCATAGTATATCTGTAAATGACTACTGATTTTATATATATGAATAATATAATATCATGTATTGAAAACCATTAGTCCATTTGATCAATTATGATAATGCAATGAGAAGATGAAGGTTACCAGTATTATGTAATATATTTGCTCAATACATTTCGAACAATCTGATTACACATATATGTTAAATCTATCGAAGCGTCCAAGTCACCCGATTGAGATACGTGCAAAACCGAAGTTTCCAAAACAACGATTTGTCTACAATAGCGGTTCTTTATTGAATAATACACAAAATTTAGTTACAAACCTCAACTTGTTAAGTGTCTGGGGCGTTTAAATGCGTCCTTTAAGTATGAAAATAAAAAGGCTTCCCGTTACAGTAACATAAAGAATGATTATAACATACGATAGTACAAAAGACAGCTGATAGCAGTGTCTAAATTTGATAAGAGTTTACAAACAGCCGAAACCCGAACCAAGAGCAAAACAATATGAAAACTTTTGCGTTTAAACAAATGCACAAAATTTTGGATAACCGCTACAGTGATTAAGATACAGTAATTATAATGACAAATACAATTATAAGTACAATAAACGTTATAAGTGTATGTGAACATTTCAGAATATTACAGTACAACTTGCGTTACAACAAGCTTAAAAATTGTTGGGAATACATTTGCTTACTCAATCTAAATAAGTAGTATAAAACAATATACAAAGGAGTGGAAAGGGAGCGAGTAGGAACTATGTAAAACAAACTTAACAATATACTTGTTAAGACATTTTTATATGAGAACTAAATAGTCAACTAGACAGATTAAAGGTAAGTCGTAACAAAGAAAAATAAGGTACACAAAAACAATGTGGTAATCACACTGGATAATAAACCAGTATCACCAGGGTGAATTAAGGGTATGACCAAATTGTTTTTGAACACATAAAAGAGGTTTCAGTTTCCGTACAGTCAAGGCTTCAATAAACCTTAGTGTGCGCCCTTGAAAGCCTTTTTACTTTACAAATGCTGAATTGATATCAAGCTTACGACCAATCTCAACCAAATGTTTCGGAATGGAGGATGATGTCTGTTTATCCTGTGATCTTATTTGACCATTGGAAGTCATTTGTTTCTGCAGCCATTCGGGTATGTATTCCTCCACCTTTACTTGCAGATCACGATTGCCCCTCTCTATGTACATGTGACCGCACATACATATAAATTGATAGATACAATGGGTTGTGACAATCGCCTACGTGTTGTTTGGGTTTTTGATGAAGCATAGACCTTCTCTTTTCAATACTGCCAAGTTGGGCTGCATAAAATGTCCTGTTGATTGCTAATATAGATCTCCGTTTCAACATGAGATTATTTTGGTCGCCTCTTAATGGTAACGTGGTGCAAACATGCTTTTTAGGTGCCAGAAGCGTCATAGATCTAATCGTATTGCAACCCTTACATCGGTTTATAAACTTTAATGAATAACTGTTATTCATCAATGTTTCAGTTGAAAGCTTCCTCTTTATTTCAGTAGTATCACCAGTGAAAATATGATTGATTCTATTGAATAATCCCTTTATTAGTCCTCGCTTATGATGAATTGGGCAATGACTATGAAAATTAAGACATTGCCTTTCTTTATACAGAACGTTTGATGGAACCATCATCTCTCCTACTAAACAGTATGTCTAGAACAAGAATTTAGTAAGTGAAATATGCTTTTGACTTGTGTTGAGTTCTTTTAACTAGTGGTTCGTATCTTCACGTTTATACGCTATGATTATGATGTCGTCAACATACCGTTTTTGCAGATATATCTTTTGAATTGAGTCTTCAGCTAGATTTTCAACGTATTCCATAAACATATCAGCCAGCAACGGTCCTAAAGTACTACCCACAGTTACGCCATGGATTTATCGAACGTACTCACTCTTAAAAGTGAATTTCACATTGTCAGTACATCATTATAATAAATCTTTAAGAGTTTTAACAAGAAATGGCAACGGAAGGTTATTCAATGACATATCGTTACATAAAATATTATTAGTTTTCCTTAGAGGTACATTTGTAAATAAAGTTGTTATGACTTTAGGGTGCTGTCGATTTCTACCCTGTGTTATCGATCGATTACAGTGACACGCAAACACGTACGGACGGCCTAGAGTCTCGATTGGTCCCACTTCCCTGTCGAGCCCAGTTAGTTGAGTCCAGAACACAAGTCACAACCTCTGAGATATGAATCATTATATTTCAAACATACTCTATTTATATACTAACCAAGCATACCACATCGTACCATAAAAATAGAAAACAACATTTTGTACAATATTCAACAAGTGAACAGATATAGACCAATAGGAAATGTCCATTTAAAGTCCAAGGACACCATTGGACTTAACATGATAATTATTGGTCTATTCTTCCGCATCCACAACAAAAGTGTTCACATCAAAGGATCACATTATGTTTGTTTTTATATTAATGTTTATTAAATAAGTGACCGACATATTGAAAGAATTGGATGCAAGGGGGTACTGGGCTTATGAATTTTCTGTAATTCATATAAATTAAGATACACCGAACTGATAAGTTTTAATAATTTAAACTCATCTTTGTTAATAGCATTCATGTTTAACAATTTCATTAGATTTGAGTTTACTTTCTTTTCTAATTTAAGTAATCTATCAGAGTCAACATCAGACATAAATTTGCTTTTGCCAATGAGAATGGATTCCATTTTACTTTTGTAATCAGAGTTATTCATAGTAACGACACCAGATCCTTTATCAAGTTTAACTATAATAATATCGTAATTCTTTTAATGAGTTGAAATGCTAAGAAGTTAATATGTTATTCTGCTTTGGTTCAGCAGAATGAAACTTGTGAGCTATATCCACTAGTTTAGCTTTAAACTAAAAATTTGAATTAACAAAATCCACCGTTATAACACCTAGTCTGTCCTATGAATACGCAAACTGAGCCCATATCAACGTCGTTTTACGAACGTTCAGTTGATGTCAGACTTTTATCTTCTTAACTAATTTCCACTTGGAGCAATTAACATACGAGAACCATCCACTCCAATTGTTCGAAATGTTGCTAGAAGTTTTCAGCAGTCGGCCTTTTTTATACAGTTCCATTGACCATAAACGTTTGACCAGAATTGTATATGGCAAAGACTTTCCGAACATTGTCTGGATTAGTAATCGGAATCTCCATGAAACTTCATATATTCATCATGTTCACTATCAACTTAAGAGATTACCAATAACTTTGAACTTACAGTTCATTTTTAGTATTTATGACCATCATAGAAGTATTTAATTTGCATAGAAATTACCTGAGACGTTTTTTTTTTGAAGTTTCATCAACCAAATTAGTAATTTAATTCGCTTACCTAATTCGTAGATTATGCAATCTATAATCTATCTATTAATAAACTGTAATCAATAGTTATGTATACATATAATGATCATTATGTTTATTTCTCATTTATGTTATTATCAACCAAGTGAAATATCATAATAGACTATAGATTGGTCTCTGTTACATAACATTATTATCATTATTATTACCATTATTGTTCAATGTTTTCAGTTATTGTTATCTCCATTGTTTTAAAAATATAAATAAGTTAGATCATTGTGAATAGAAAGTTTTATAATTGTAGCTGATATATATTTTCGTATATATATTTTGTATTAATATTATGAATATGATAATGAATTGTTTATTAGATAAAAAAAATTATATCACTTATGAACTGGTTATTGAACTGAATATGATTCAGAATTCTAAAAACATGTGTTTAGTAACAAGTGGTGGTATAGTGTTTCAGACAAATTGGTTGGTAAAGGCTTTTTCTGGGAAGGCCTACATAAGAACTTCTGGAATGGATTCTGTATTTTAAAGGCTCACAAACCTACCGCGTGGCTGTCGTTTCGTGGGAACCGCTGCCCCGCAGGTTTTTGTGTGCATCTTGGTATCGTAAGAAGAGCAGGTAGAAGGATTTTTGAAGATTTTACTTACCCTGGATAGATATAGCCTACATGCATACTAGGTAACACACGGGTTTTGATCCGAGTATTCCTTAGCATAAATACAGATATACCTGCCATGTGAGCAAATATACGTTACATGCACACCGGTAACACACAGGTTTTATCCCATGCATTCTATAGCATAAACATAGGTATATTCACTAATATGGGAGGGTAGAAGTTCACCGCTTCCTCAGAAATGTATTTGCTACAACGGACTTTCTCTTACACATTATATGCATAACATTCAGCCCATGGATACCGCCTCAGTACTTTCTGACACACATATAACCACAAGTATTCTCTCAGGGGGCTTGTTTGTCGCCTCTCCCTCGTACTTGCTATCATATCTTAATATTATGCCCTGGTGCGGCCGAGAGTGGGGAGAGTCAGCTCTCCCTCTTGAAGTGCTCTCACATGACCACATGCATACGATCATTGATAGGGAAGTCCCACTCAACGCCTTCTCGAGCCAGGGGTGTTGTTTACGAAACCAGGAGGACCAAAAGCGAATTTCCAGTGCTTTAACCGAGTTGGTGAACACGGAGAGTCCACCAAGGGGAGTCGGAAAACCATGATTCTAAGCCAGCGCTACACATGGGCTCCACGATTCCAAAGAAAGAAATTGCGTATGAACCTATTGTTGGTCACCGGCTGCCATGGGACTGCATCTTTTAAAGTTGCTCCACTGCTCTGTGGATCAGACCTTTAGGTCAAAGGCTTGAGATGCGGCTCTTTAATGAAACCACGTACTTCGGTTTGGGCACATGAGCAGTATCTCACTCCTCACACAAATCGATTGATTTATGTGGCACATATCTATTTGAGATAAATAAATCGACCTGATAAATTAGGCCGATGATTTTATTAGACATAGGGCAGACACTATTTCAACTAACGTCTCTATTGTACGACACCACACACACACCTTTTGCATATGCCTACATATATGAATTACATGGGCCTGAGGACTTCTCTAACTCTTATACAGAAACATACCCAACGAGTGGCACGATGAGGTTAAGTGAGCCCCGAGTTGGAACCCGAGTTAATCAAGGAAGCAACTAAGTGGGTGATTAATACAATCTCTATCGACCGCTTAAGTTGGCTAGCAAGGTTACCCTTACTATCCAGTAGCACCACGAAGAGGCCTTAGGTTGGATTTCGCTGTTTAGTAACATGTAACTAGTGATGACGGATTAAGGTAACTTAAGAATTTATTTTTTCGAGTTTATTATTATTCTGAGTCATTTAGGTTTAAGTGTAACTCTGAATACGTATATGACCACTCTGCAATATGAATTCTTGTTTCTTCGTAAGGTAATTCCAGAAGTTCTAGTAAGGAGCCGTGACAAGTGGAGTTCAACTATACCTAGAATGAGATAGATATCGCCCATTATAATGGCTAGTAATTGCGCAACGTAATGAGTCGACGGAGGTTATATATGCAAAGTAATTTGTGCCAGAAAGTTTAATGTTCTAAATAAGGTCTGAATATCTTGTGTTGGATTTCTGGTGGGTAGTGTAGTGAATAGTATGATAATGTTAACATAATATTAACATACTTGAATTAATAAAATCGAGATTGATTTTGGAAATAGGGATAGAAAATTGTAAGAATAGGTAGTAGACATAAAATACAATATTAAATATACTAGTTGAAGGTGAACTCATATAGATAACGAACATAAGCCATGTATATTATTGTGATTTATACTACTTATGTTTGCAGATATAAGTAGAACGTAACACCAGTCGGAAGTGAAATGTCTGCTAATTGAAGGTTGAGAAGATTGAAATGAAGCGAAGAGAGAAGGAAATTGAAAGCAATTAAGGTAACAACAGAAATGAAGGAACAATGAAGTTTGTAAATGATAATTTTTTAAAAATGTGTAAATGATGTGTTTGATGTATAATTTTCACATTTTACTAAATCCCTCTGTGATTGTGCATTGAACAATACCTGTTAGCTATGATTTTTGCAAAATGAAACAAAATTCATGTTTGTTGTTTGTCAATTATTTTGAATGCTTTTGAGGTATTTACCAAGTGTTTACAAATCACTAGGTATCTAGTTCATATGTTTATTTCATTGAAATTGACTTTTATAAATTGATGACAACACCAGAAACCATTAGATTTCAGGGACAAATATTTTAACATAATTAGATTTAGCATTATTAACCATGCGTTTGGCACAGGTTTATTATAAACACTAGATAATAGATAAGTGCGTAACCATTTAACAAGTGAGATGAAATGCATCTAAGTTCTCAAATATTTATCATTAATTCATAGACTAGAGAAATTACAATCCAGTATTATATATGAACATTCGGTTTTACTCTTGCTTTGGTCAACTCTGTTATTCATGGTACTTTTTCTATTATTTGAAATATTTTTATTCATTTTAAGTAAAAATTGTCATGGTACTGCTTACTCTACGTTGTCGTTCATTTGAAATCGTTTGTGAGTAATCGTTAGCTAAAGCCGTAGAAACTGTAAATGCAATCAAATCAGTAGTTTATAGTCAATGCTTCTTTATTTGAAATGATTTTGAAATTACAGTCAAATTCATGTTGAAAAATACTAACTTGAATATAGTTATTTATCATTTGTAAAATCCATTAACTGGCTGGTAAGTAAAAGGCAAAAATCATATTATCTAGAGTTTAGTGTTGATTAGAATCTAAAGATCAAGGTTTCAATTTGGTCAGTATGGCATATATTGCACTCTATTTGATAGTAATCAGATAGAAGCCCCAGATCAGCATCATATGCTGGAACACATTGACCAGTAAGGAGTGTAGGGAATATTTATAGAACAGATTCTTATTTAAAGGTTTCTACATGGATTATCCAGTGTAATAATATCACCAAGTGGTTAGTTCTTTAGAAGATTGGAACTCTGTACAGAATGAATTCTAGGTCTCTGATTATGGCATTGGATGATAGTAATGAACGTTAATTAGACAGGAATCGTGCTTATTACTTTGAACCATCATAATATCTCAACATTTAACTGTCATAATCAGGCATTTAAAAAAATGTACATACTTAAATTAAGTAGTATTTTGAAAATTATTTGAAAAGTGTTAGCTATAGTTACTAATTCCTTTAAGCATTATACTTAATCATCGAACAGAACAAATAGAATAATTATTTAAACTCTTAAGGAAAAAATTACCAGTTTAATGTTTTAATGAAATTGTAGAATTTTCACAGTTCAAATCATGAACTGTTCTTACTTAGACTATCATTGATAACCAGAAAACACTGGACATCTATTTTGCCTTAGTATGGAATTCCTCAGGAGTGACCATTCACTACCCCGCCACTGAGGGTCGAACCCATGACCCTAGGTTCCATGCACAAACTCCTAACCTCTAGAACACTGAGCCGGTATTTAGTTATGTACATGTCTAAATTCAATCAAATGATTAGGCATATATTTTTGCTTATAATTCTGAAATTAATTAAATTCATCTTTTGCATAGCAACTTTTATTTAAGTATTTAAGTTTTATAGTTTATGTTGGGATCAAATGAAATATTAACAAGAATGTATGTTTAGTTTTTGTCACCTTACAGACGTAGTTTTCTTTTTGATCTGATATCAGCTGAGAAATCAAACGAAAACCAGAAAATACTATACATAGTTCTTAATACTCTAGCAGTTATGTTGGCTCATTGGTTAGGGTTGTATTTTGTGATAACCTAGTCAAGCTATATTGCCTCAAGCATTCATTACTTTGCATTCCACTATACTAACCACATCGGTTAGAGAACTCCAAGCTACAAACTCATAGTTCGACGGCATGTTGTACTGTTTAATGCCTGTACTGGATTATAATGGGAATAAAATGTTCCGCTCAAACGATCAATATCTTTAGAGGTACTGCAGAGGTGAGGTTAAGCCATCAATTAATTGCTAAATCCAATGGAACAACTCTGCTGACATTGGATTTAAATGATATCACTGGTCAGGTAGTTTACTTTTCTTCATATATTTTGGACAAGTAATGAACAAAGAAAGAGATTGAAAGTAATAGCATTATTTTGATACTTATATGTAACTATTTACAGCTTCAAGTATCTAGAAAATAGTAGAAAGATCTGTAAGATTTTGTAATTTTTGTTGCCGGTATTCAGAATTGCAGTTAATAGGTCTCTGCCGATATGTGGTGGATCTTGAATGAACTATCTTGACACAATCTTTCAGTTACAAATTTCATTATACTTGTGTTTTGGTTGCTATTGGAGTCCAGCGCGCACATTCCATCGTAGCCCGAACCTGGCGTCTGGGTGTTCTTCCTAACCAATGTTAAATTTCCGGTTAAAACTGTAATCTGTTCATTATCACATCAGACATCCACACATTATCTAATAATATGTTTAGTCCACACAGTTATCAACCTGTTCAAAATTCACAAAGTTATGAGTAAGGGTTGGAAATCAGGTTCAGAATGATAACTACAAAGTTCCATTCTCAATTTAGTCATCAATATTAGGATAATTAAGTATCCAATTGATTAGTTCCACAGAGGATGAAATTCATATCCTGAATTTCAGTGTTGTACATGTATCAAACGTTTTAAAAGATCGTAAACATATGCTTTTTTTCATCAGAAGGGGTTTGTTGAGATTTTAGAAATTTCACTGATTGAAATCATGAGTCAATTGAAGCTAGATCACCATGGAAAACTTGGAAGCACTAGACGGCCGTTTCATCCTAGTATGGGGCTCCTCAGCAGTGCGCATCCACGATCCCGCAGCCCGCGAGATTCAAACCTAGGACCTATCAGTCTCGCCCCAAGCGCTTAACCAACTAGACCACTGAGCTGCCGGGGTGCGGGATCATTGATGCGCACTGCTGAGTAGTCCCATACTAGGACAAAACGGCCGTCCAGTGCTTCCAGGTTTTCCATGGTGGTCTAGCTTCAATTGACTCATGATTTCAATATGTTTTTTTCTAAAAAACACTTCAAAACCAGTGATCAATTTGATAGGTCCTATTGTTGAGAGCAATTTTTTTATCAACAATACAATAATAAAGTTACATTTGAAAAAGAAATAGTTAAATTTCAATTCATCTTGTCAATTTTATTCAGAAGTTGAGTAATTCAAACAAAATGTTAAATCAAATTTCACATGAAAATCACAAATCTATTTATTTACACAATTATTAAAACATTGAACTGATATGAAGCATTTATACATCAACCAGAACAACAACAACAACAACAACAACAACAAAATTCTATTGAATACTTTCATACCTGAATAGATCCATATGGAACTGATGAATATAAGAGATATGAAAAATATTAGTTTCATGTTAGATTTGAATATTATAGATAATTTACTAATCTATTATTAAATTTCCATTGTCAATCTATTATAATGATGTAGTGAATGTTCTAGTTAGTTTCTCTTTCTTTATTTAAAGAAGATATTTACTATTATCTTAAAAGTTTATTGGTTCAAAATTAAATGTACAATATTTAATTGAACTGAGATCAAATTGATATTGATGATAACGGTTACAATCCTTTTTTAAACTGAGTTTATATTAACACATACATACATACATACATACATACCTACCTACCTACATACATACATACATACCTACCTACCTACCTACATACATACATACATACATACATACATACATACATACATACATACATACATACATACATACATACATACATACATACATACATACACACGTATGTCTGCACACACACCTACACACGTACATACATGCACATACACATACATACAATGTACATACATACATATACATCAATATATATGAGTACAAATCAGTAATTTAATGACTAATCATTAGGTAAATTGATTCATTTAGATAATTATTTATAGATCATAGCGGTAATTTAAAATTTAAATGATTTAAAATAAAACTACAAAAAGAATATGATAACATTAAATATTAGATTTGAAATGTAATTCATATTCGATAAAAAAATTGATTGATTGATTCTTTTTTTTGTTTTTTGTTTTTTTTTAAAAATGAACTCCATATTTGAAATATCATTTCAATAAACGAATTGATTAAATGAAATATGAATTCTATAGTTAAGTTATGATATAAAATGCTAATTTTTAGAATAGATTAAATGTTTTTGATTGAGATCATGAACCGATTGATGATGTTAGGCCATCATTGAAAAATCTGGACTGATAGGTCTTGGATTTGAATCACGCATGGTGTGGGATCGTGGTTATGCACTGCTGAGGAGTCCCATATACTAGGATGAAATGACTGTCCAATGCTTTCAGGTTTTCCATGGTGATCTAGCTTTAATGGACTCATGATTTCAGTCGAAAACTTAACAATCTCCACAACCCCTAAACTGATAAATCTGGATTTGTTGTGAGATAGTAACTCACTGAAAACAATGATGGATATGTCGATCAATTTCGTGGATTAGTTGAAAGTAGACATTAACACTATTGGATGCTGATTCAGTGGTCTAGAGTTAAAGCATTCGCGTGAGAGATTGATAAATCTTGGGTTCGAATATTACGAGATGGAATCGTGGATGAGCACTGTTGAGGCGTCCCACAGTAGGAGGAAACAACCGCCCAATGCTTCCAGGTTTTCTCCCTGGTGGTCTAGCTTCAAGTGACTCATAATCTCAACTATTAAAATTAGTATAATATCCGCAAAACCTCTTCAAATAATGTTTTAATAAGAATATTCAATAAAATTGAATGTTCATTATAGGATATTCAAGGTTTTAAGGTATCTTGTTGCATTACTTCTCAACAAAACATTGAAATGTGATTTTTTGGTAAATATAGATGGATAGTAGCTAGTAGTGGATTCCGGGATACGCGTTTCATCCCATTTCAGACCCAGTGTGGACATAAACTCTGAGATACAGATACATCTAGCTGATGAGTTTCGAATAGGATTAAACGCATGTTCTGGATTCCATTGCTAACCACTATCCATCATTGCTTAGAATGCTTGTGAATTAAGACAATATCGAGGCAATATGCACAGTATGCACATAAGCTAATAAGAGACGGATCAATTGCAGTCCTAAACATCGATGGGAAGATCCAAGTAAAACGATATCAAGTGAATTTAGTGATTTGTTAGTGTTTAGAGACAAGTCAAATTATTGATCTACATGGAATGTTACAACTCTTCTTTCACATTGTTTTAAACATTGTAACAGTGTGTTGCTATATATGTTTTCCTAATTTGCGACATGTGCCGAATTCAAAAATTGACATTTCTGTTTCTTCTTGTATTTCTTCATATTCTATAACTCTTCATGAGTATAAATTTATCATTCTGTTAGAGATCTATATCAAAACCTCATAGTCTTGTGGTTAGTGACATATTTTAAGACTATTAAGTAAGTATATAATCTCCCGTATATCCAACTCTACTTGATTTTTTACACATAGCAACTATCATTTCATATCATTGGTGATATCTATAACAAGTAAAAAGATAATTCAACAAAGAAAATGTCATCTTCGACGATTTCATTGACTTAAGTTGTACAATCGTATTTATACTCACTTACGCCTGTTACCTCTCGTTGAGTAGCATAGGCCGCTCACCAGCATTCTCCATCCAATTCATTCCTGAACAATTCTTTCCAGTTCTTTCCAGTCACCATTCATCTGTTTTTTATGTTTGCTTCCAACTACGTACATGAAATCGTCGAAAATAAAATTTTCTTTGCTGAATTGCCTTCTTTCTTTTCCCATGACAAAATAAGTCACTTTCGTTGTATTTATAGTGACTGACCACCAAGTAGTGACTAGTCAATGGAAATATGCCGCTCCTGCTTGTGATTAATCGTGAGCTGAACGGACTACTGGCAATGTCTTAGACATTGAGACTAAGTTGTTGTGGTTTAAATATCCCTGGTACGTATTGGTGATGAGTGTCAACTAGAACGAGATCAGGTTAAACCGGTTTCTTTTCAGGCCATATTTAGCCACATAACATTGTTGACATTTTACTGAAATCATGAACCAATTAATGTTAGATCACCACTGAAGACCTGGAAGCATTGGATGGCCGTTTGGTCATAGTAAAATCTTCTCAAATTTCGAACGTGTTGAACACGAGTTGGTTACCCTCCGAAGAAAATGAAAGACGGTCGCAAAATATCGCGGGTTGATTGAAATTAAACATTAGACCATCAGATACTGCGTCAGTGGTTCAGAAATTAGGCGTTGACGGGCAAGACTAAAGGTCCTGTGTCCCATACCCGCGTGCAGGGTTGTGAATACGCACTGCTGAGGAGTCCCATGCAGTGTTGAAACGGTTATCTCGGTTTCCAATGGTAATCTAACGTTGATCGGTTCAAGAGTTTTGTGAAACTCGACAATCACCACAACCCTATACTAATAATTAGTGACTTCTGTTTTAATTCGTTCGATTCATTGATAAATTAACCTATTAAATAACTAGGTTTATCGCTCAACTTTCATGAACATGATAAAAATCTAAATTGCTGAGTGTAATGAATCTTTTATATACAAAAAAACATATATTCATAATGTTTATGTGATAGATTATCAACTTATACATCATCAAAGGATACAGAAATGAATCTGTTCTTAGGATTTTGTAGTAAATGTTTTGAGTGGATAGCCGAATTATTCCAAGAGGGCTTAAGTCATTTACGAATAATTCAAAATGAGTTATCTCGTTACATTTTACGTCTTTGTTCAGTTCACTACTTGTAATATTTAATTAAATTAGATTTTCATCTTTCGATAGAGCAATGAGAAGACGGAGTTGATCTAAAAAACATTTTTTCAGATCAACTCCGTCTTCTCATCGCTCTATCAAAATTTATAAAATGGATTAATTGCTTTAGATTTTTATCACCTAACTTGTTAAGTGCTAAAATTTATTTATTAATATATGAAGTACCCAAATGTAATCGAATTTAGTGAATAAATTGGATTTCGATGAGTTTTTTGGGTTTGCACTTAGTTTACTATGCCAAGAATTTAGTTAAGTGTAATGTAATTGTATAATGTCCTGAATGTAGAGCTATCATTCCAGTTAAAAGAAAGTAGATGGATTAGTTAATTAAATTCGTCTAAACTTTTCATTCTGAACTACAATCACTTGAGAATCGTTGGAAATCAGGGGAGAACAGAGAGTTATGCACTCATGTCTTTAACAGGGATCAAACTTAAGGCCTTGTAGAAATTCAGTGAATAATATTTTTAAAATTCGTTACATTGTAATTGTTCAGCATGAGAAAAATAAACAAATATACGCACGGGATCGTGAATACGCACTGTTTAGGAGTCACATCCTATGACTGAACGTCCGTCTAATGCTCCCAGGTATTCAATGATGGTCTAGGTTAGATCAGTCAGTGGTTTCAGCTCTGAAAATATGTGAACATCAATAAGATTATGTAAGAGGCAAATATCAGAAAAAGAAAAATATTAAAAACGGTGCAAATACAATCGAACATGTTCTACTCTGAATTTTTGCTTCCAAACACACGAAGAACACACTACATCGGGAAACGGAAGCAGACATAAAAAGGATGAATAACAACTGGCAAGAACTGGAAAGGAATGTTCAGGGCAAAGTTGGATGGAGAATGCTGGTGGGAGGTCCACTATTCTCTGTGAGAAGTAACAAGCGTTAATAAGTAAGTAATAATAGAAAAGGATTTTATAAGTTGGAATACGAGTAATAAATATGTATCTACACAATAATTAATTAATTAATTACTTCTAAGTACCACTTAGTTCAGTTATTATAATACCTGGTTGTCAATCAGTGTAAATAAATCATATTCAGATACCATTTTGGTTTGTTTTGAATGTCAAGTAAATCTTCGTCTATCGTCTTTGTGTTTCCATTTACGTAATCTGATTCATCGGTTTTACATATTGAAGTACCAAAATGACAAGTTATTTGATTATTGCGTAGGATTTGATTGGCTTGAAGTTCAAGGTCTGACCTTGAAATTGTTCTTTAACCAACTAGACTTAACATCGAAAAGAAGAGATCTCTTTGTCATTTACTAACTACTCTATGTATATAATAAGTGATAACCTTTATCAGAAACTAATGTGACAACTTACTGCTGATATTTGCTTATTTTGTTGCAATAACTTTACATTAACTATTCATAAATGTTAGTTCATCAGTTTAGAGATAATCGAAATGATTGATTCCTAATTCACATATCCCCTTCACTAGTTGCTTCACCTTTACTTTGCTAGTTTTGTTATGCTCCATGCTTATGTTTTTCGCTATGTCTATAAATGCAGAGTTGTTCTAGTATAAATTTACGCTTATTGAATGTTAAGTTTTTTTCTGAGTACTTGACTTTCCTCATCAATCAAAATAAGGATTATTGTGTAAGTATAATGTATCAGTTCTGCTACATATCGAGTCCGTGTAGATCTAATTCTATATTATTAAAATATCGATATTGTTCGTGACTAGGTATTAACATGAGCGTAAAGATTACATGTGCTAGGATTTGTCTCCATTACG